AGCTCAGTATAGAGGAACAAATTTTCTAGGCTGCCACCATTCTGGAACATGGTGCTCTGGGGCTCTATTCTCAAACCAAAGTCTTTCACCTTTGTAATTTTCAGGCTGCAAGGGCTGGAGTCCTGCTGTTTCATGTAATGTCATTAGACTATCTTTTCTATTTTTGTGGGGTTTTTTGTTTGTTTTGTTTTTGCAATCAAGATTTCTTCTGCTCTTTGTACAGCTTTATTGGTGCTTCTTTTTTGGCTAAACTCACAATGTTTTAAATTATTTTACTGGCCTCTTTGCTGTTGATTTTCAACATAGATCTGGCTAAAAGCACCCAACTGTAGCAATGCCATGGCCTCTACATTAGACTGCCTTGAATTTTTTTCTACAAGATTAATTAGTCTGCTGCCCTTAATCTTAGTTTCAGGCAAAGTCTCTGGACACTAGCAAAATGTAGACAAACTTGTTTGTTTTTTTTTCTTTTTATTAAATTTATTGGTACAATCTAGGTATACAATACAATTAAATTCATTACTGGGATCCTGTACCTTCACATGACAGGTCTTGGTTCTCATTTTTTCCCCTTGTCCCTGCCCTCCCTTCACTCCCTCCCCCATTTACAAACACTATATTTCCATTTTTTCATTTTCTCATATTTTTTTTCTTTTTCCTTGTTCCCTTTCCCCTACCCTTCCCACTTTCCCTACACCTTTAGCCCTTTTCTTCCTATTTCACACTATTAATTATCCCATTAGGATCTTGTGTACTATTATAGTTTTTCACACCAGACAGACTATTCAGTATTTACACATATGTGACTTAGACTTATTTATTTTACTTAAGAGTATATCCTCAATATGTATCTATTTTCCTATGAATGGCTCTAATTTCTCATTCTTTATGGCTGAGTAGTATTCCATTTTATAGAAAAACCACATCTTCTTTATCCAGTTTCCAATTGATGAGCAAATGGGCTGTTTCCAAGTTTTAGCTACTACACACTGTGCCGCTATAAACATTGGTGCACATATATCACTGTGGTATGTTTTTTTAAATTCTTTTGGAAAGATCCCCAGCAGAGGGATAGCTGCATCAAATGGAACCTCTAGTCCCAGCTCTTTGAGGTATCTCCATATTGATTTCCATAGTGGTTGTACCAGTCTGCACTCCCACCAACAATAGAGAAGTGTTCTTTTCTCCCCACAACCCCACCAACATTTGTTATTGTGTGACTTCTTGATAGCAGCCACTTTTTGTGGGGTGAGGTGGAATCTCAGTGTTGTTTTCATCTGCATCTCTTGAATGCCCAGTGATGTGGAACATTTTTTCATGTATTTACTTGCTGCTTTTACTTCTTTGTCTGAGAAATGTCTGTTCATTTCAGGTGCCCATTTTTGAATTGGGTCTTTATATTTGGGGGGGGCTGATTGTTTTGAGTTCTTTATATATTCTACATATATTCTACATAATAGCAGCTGAGGAGCAGCTGGTGAAAATTTTTTCCCACATTGTATGTTGTCTCTTAGTTCTGTTGATGATTTCTTTTGCAGTGCAGAAGCTTTTAATAAGATGAGATCCCAGTTGTTGATTCTTTCTGCTAGTTCCCATGCTACTGAGTATTTGTTCATAAAATATTTTTCTTTGCCAATGTGTAGACAAACTTTTGGATTTCTATCAGCCTTTTGGTCTTTTGAGCTCTGACCAGAATCTCCCATCAAGTACAATCTAAGGCAGTCCAGCTCTGCTTTTTCAGCCAGCAACTCCAAACCTTTCCAAACTCTTCCCATAAGCCAGTTTTAAAGGCTTTTGAACCACGTGGTCAGGTATAGTCACAGCAGTGACCCCACTTGGTACCAGATTTTGTTTTAGTTTATTTTTTTGTTGCTGTTACAAAATGCCTGACACCTAAAGTTAAACAGGGAAAGGTTTATTTAACTCACAGTTTGTAGAAATTTCAGTCTGTAGTTGGCTGGCTCCAAGCATCACGTGGCAGAGGGGCGTCACAGAGGAAAAATGGTTAATTGCAGGCAAAGATAGAAAAAGCAACGAGGAACCTTAGTAGATTCTTTCTATACCTTTTATACTTTAGCTAGGCTACCAAGATTGGAGGGGGTGGTGTTAAACTAGGTAGATTGATTTAATAATACTCACACACTCTTCATCCCAGCATCACACACTCTAGATTCAGCCACCTTTGAAAAAGCCCCTCCTATGACCACCGGAGGCTTTGTGGGAGACATCTAGACCCAAAGAGCAGCAGGTGGCTCCAAGGCAGAAACATCAAGGTGGATGAGTGTAGTGGGGCAAAGCTGCTTAGTTTATGACCGCCAGGAAATAGATAAGGGAATAGTAGTAGAGAGGAAAGGGTAAGGAACCATACCTAGACCCTATGGCCATGCTTTCATGACCAACCCAGATCCATCCAAAAGTATGTGCCACCTATTTCCCAGGTAGATCTCAAATCCAATTGGGTGGACACTTTTCCCTAATCACTGCTCTCTTGCTACCCTTGTCACTTTGTGTGCTCATCCATATCCTCTCAGGAGAAGCCTTGATTATCTGTATATTTGTGTTTCCTCTGTTTAACATAGTGTCTGCCTTACAGTTGATGCCCAGTTAAAAAAAGGTTGAATTGGCTGGGAATGGTGGTGCACGCCTGTAATCCCAGCACTTGGGAGGCTGAGGCAGGAGGATCGCTGTGAGTTCAAGACCAGCCTGGGCTGCATAGTGAGTTCCAGGTCATTCTCAACTACATAGTGAGACCCTGTCTGAAAACAAACAAACAAACAAAAAGGTTGAATTGGGTGGGGGATTTAGTTCCATGGTGCTGCTGCCTGCCTCACAAGCACAAGGTCCCGACTTTGATCCCCACTACCAAAAAAAGAAAAGAAGAAAAGAAAAGAAAAAAAATTGAATCTATGAATTGTCTGTATCAATGAAAAGAAAAAGTATTATAACTAAATTTCTAAGACTGTCATACAGAGAAAAAAAAGAGAGGATAATATTTGCTCAATATATGCAAATTATTTTTTTAAATGAACTGGCCTGCCTTTGTGAGGTATGTGCTCTCATTAATAGAAACTTTAAGTTTGAACCTAAGGACTGTATGTTATTTACTTTTCTCTCATTGCTGAGACAAAATACTTAACACCCAAAGTTGGAGTGGAAGGGGTTTATTTGGCTGATAGTTCGTAGAGGTTTCAGTCCATAATTGGCGGGCTCCAAGTCTGGGACGGCAAACAAGCATTGCAGAGGAGAAACAATGTGGCACACACAAGGCAGCAAAGGTAATAAGAGAGCTAACAGCATTTTTCTGCCCCTTTTATCTTATTCAGACTACAGGGACTGGGCGATGCCAAACTAATTGCTCACATGTAGTGGTTTAGTAATCACACCCCCTTAACCCCAGCATCACACCTTCCAGATGCAACTACCTCTGGAAAGGAAAGCCCCACCTCATCCACATGAGGCTTTGGGGGGACATCTAAACACAAACTATAACAGACTGGTTATCAGGGTTATTGTTGGGAGGGTAAAGAAAGTACACAAGCTCTGTTTTGTGACTTTTTCTTTGTTCAGAGTTATTGCAAGACCATTGAAAATGGGGTCATTTGCATTCCCATACCTTTGGTTCCCATGAGAGACACACATGCTGTATCACTAGCAGTGTCCTTTCCCTCTGCCACAGTTACCCTATGGAAATTAGTAAATGGCCCAGGACAGTTGCCCAGTGGTACCCAGCGTAATGTGTGCATGCACATACACATACAGTTAGTATCACACTGAATACTTTAATACTGGCAGCCATGTAGAGGATGGGTCAGATATACTGTTCATTGAGGCCTTACTTTTTGTGATAATTGACTTTCTCATTTCCTAGTACTTTATCTGTTACAAATCCTGAGTGACAAGATTGGTGAAGTAGTCATCAACTGTGCACAAGTGATATTAGAAGTTTTTTAAAAAGTAAGAAAAAGGTTATAGTGCAGTGTTTGAGTAAGCTTTTGGGGTTCACAGTCCCAACCTTGGCACTTACAAACTGTGTGGCCTTTGTTCTAGTTCTTAAATCTTTGTGCTTCAGTTTTTGAAGCTGTAAAATAAGGATGATAATGGTAGAACCTAATCTATAGGGTGATTGTGAAGACTGAATAGGAATAAAGTTTATGGTGCCTAGTATATAGTAATCATTAAATAAGGGTCTGCTGCTGTTGTTATGATTATCACCATTAACATTATCATCCAACAGACACATTTAAGATACATAGCTTGACTTAAAACCACATGCATAGTATCTGGCATATATTGGGATTTTTTTTTCAGCTGTCAGGAACCCAGGGCCTTAAACATGCTAGTCGAGTGCTGTACCACTGTACTACCCCCCCAGCCTGACAAATATTCTTGAGTAAATAAGTAATCTGCTCATTTATAATTTTTATTTATATATTTTCTTTCAGATAAGTGTAGGAAATGGTCCAAATAAGTTATAAGTGTAATATGAGAACTAAATGCAGTTATAATCTTGTGTTGCTCGGGCTTGCTAAGGCAGTCTGAAATACCTCATTCTGGTGCTTATCTCTTTATTAAAACAAATATATGCCAAGATACATCATGTAAAGGTACAAGTTCCCAACAATGAATGTAAATGTATTGTATACCTAAAATGCACCAATAGAAGAATTTCAGAGAAAACAATGTATGTTTTGAAAAGCTGTTTGAATTTTTTCAGGAGAGAAAATATAATCAGGTGAAATTAGTACTTTACGTATAATTTTATATCTTTTTTTTTTTTTTTTTTTTTTTTTATTTTTTTTTTTTTTTTTTTGGTACCGGGTATCGAACTCAGGTCCTTGTGCTTACAAGGCAGGCGACCGCAACACTGAGCTAAATCCCCGGCCCCTTTACCTATAATTTTATATAGTTTTCTGCATGATAAAATGAAATGTACTTGCCATAAAAATGTTCTTATCTGAATTTAGGTGATGTGTTAACACTTTGTTTGTGCTTGCAAACAGGTTCATCCTAAATTTCACTATAAACAGGCTCATGACCCAGGCACAGACACTTCTTGTGTGGCTTTTTCCTATGATGGTAATGTCCTTGCCTCTCGTGGAGGTAGGTTAAGAACTTTCTTTTTGATGAGTTTCTATGTATAAATTGATATCATTTAACACTAACAAATATTCTAATGTTAATGTCCTATCACTTAGAAAAACTAGATTTGTTTTTGTTGATGTACTTGTGTCAGTCTGATTTTTCTATTTAAATGCATTTCCAATATTGTTTATATTAAAAAATCATCAATGAGCTGGGCCTGGTGGCACGTCCCTTTTATCCCTTGGGAGGCTGAGGCTAGAGGGTTGCTGTGAATTTGAGGCCAGCTTGGGCTACATAGTGAGTTCAAGGCCAGCCTGAACTATATAGAGAGACCTAATCCCTCTATACACCAATAAATAAATAAATAAAGATAGATAGATAGATAGATAGATAGATAAAAAGTAAATTTAGAAAATATGTACTTTTTCTAATTTTTATTATGGCTTCAGGTTTCATAAGAGTTTGAAGTTTCCACGAATAACCATTGCCTCTTCCTTTGGAATTTTGTAGATAATCATGTACATTCTTTTATCCTTTCTATACTGTTTTATAATTCTCTGTCTGGTCCTTCAAAATCCTCTGTGGACCGTTGATTTTTTTCCCCAGTTTAAACACTAACTCAATTCAGTTTTAAAATAAGGAATTAGTAACCTGTGTTATTTAAAAAATAACTGTAGATTGTTATATTGAAAATTTATTTATCTTCACTCATATGATTGGATATAGATTGTTCCTGTTTTTTGCTACATCATTCTCACATGGATAAGCCTGTGTATTAATTTGAAGAGATGGCTAGTAGGGCAATTTATGAGCTCTGCATTATGAGAAAGAATGGGATATGGCTGAGGATCTTCCTATAGATCCACTTGTAGGAAGAGCAAAGAAATACTACAGGATAAGTAGATTGGACCCACATTACACAGGGCCTTAAATATCATATAAAATTTTTTCTGTAGGGCAAAGAGAAGCTATTAGTCAGGTGAAGTTAGCAATGTTATATTTAGTTATTCATTCATTCACTTAATGACTATCTATTGAGCATGTACTATGAGCTAGCATTATGCTAGGTTATGGGTGTAATATGTGAATATCATAGATAAGCTTTTTATCCTGAAATAATTTATGCCTGGTGTATAGAGCAGTAGAGACTCAGCGCAGCTTTCCCCTCAGTTAAAAACTCCACTGTAGGGAACTCTATTCACATTCTCTTTCCTCCAAGGAAGCCTTATATCTTAGTTGCTTTTCTTTTTGCTGAGACAAAATACCTGACACCCAAAGTTAAAGGGGAAAGATTTATTTATCTCACAGTTTGTAGAGGTTTCAGTCAATGATTAGCTGGCTCCAAGGTAGTGTGGAACAACAGACAGGTCTTGCAGAGAAGAAACAGTTCATGGCAGCCAGAAAGCAAATGCAACAAGGGATGACCACAGCTCTTTCTATCTCTTATATCTTATCCAGACTACTTAGAGTGGATAGCACTCATACCCTTAATTCTAGTGCCCTTGAGCCTAGCATTGAACCATGAATCAGTCACATACTCTAGATCCAACCACCTCAGAAAAAAAGCCCCAAATGTCTGACTGCATGAGGCTGGGGGGCGGCATCTACATATAAGCCGTAGCCCCTTATCTATTGTATGAAAATTACCCTGACTTGCAGTCAAAAAAAAAATCAAAGTACATTATACACAATTTACACGGTACACACAGCAAATGTAAATTTGTATAAAATATTTTGTTCATAATTTCTAACCTGCTGCTTCAGTCCTGAGATGACTTCTAATTAAAACTATATATATTCTTTACTTAAAAACAGTGGTTTTAAGCCAGGCATGGTGACACATGCCTGTAATCCCAGCACACTGGAGGCTGAGGCAGGAGGATTGCCTAGAGTTTGAGGCAACAGTATTGGGTTAGCTGAAATTAATGTAGATTAATGTTTCTTGTTGTTTGAGTATAGAATGTGTATTTTTTAAGATGAAAAGCAATAGAATAACATACCAATGGGGAATTTTTCAAAATTTTACAAAATTCTTTTGAGACCAACTAGTTGTGGATTAGTGCACTTGACAAATGTTAGATTTCAGAGGAGGGGGGTCACTGGGAAGAGTAGGGGAAGTTTTAAATTAAAAATAAAAACACTCCACTCATCTCATTTGCGGCTGATTGTGATTCTCTATTGGACCCAATAGGTTGAGGCAGGTCTCAGCTGTGGGTGTTGGGAAGCAAGAACAGCAAAAATATTACTGTACTTATGACTTTGACTTTTGTTCTGCTCGGGAATCTGTCAGTAGCCCTTTAGAAATATAAAAAAGTGATTCTTAAAAGAATAGTCATCATTCTTTCAATGGCTTGAAAAAGCTGTACTCCCTAGCAAGTGAAGAAGGATAGCCACAAGCAAGAATTGCACTTGAGGGCAGGGAATAGTATGGCTCACTCATTAATGTTAATGGATAGCTTTGCCCACATAGTAGTGTAAAAAATTCTGTTGTGAATTGTACTATTTTCAGACCAGATGGTTCTTAAATTATCTTCCCAAGAAGTTAGGTTATCGTAAAACATACCACAGGGAAACTACCACCTGATCTAAAAATCGCACATTAGGGTAAATTCTTCAGAATTCTTTCTAACTTACAAGGGCTGCATCAATATGGAGAGTAATTTCTAGAAGATAGACTTATTATCATATTGTTCCTGTGTTCTTATGACTTACTGTTTTCAAGCTCCCCGAACAGTTAAAAAAGTAGAATATGCTTATGTGCGTCTGGGTTCTTTCTCTCCCTGCCTTCCTTGCTTCTGTTCTTCCCATTCTCTTCCCCCACCTTTTTTTTTTTAGCTATATACTAAATTTAGCAAACCCTAAACTGAAAATGAGATTATTTTTTGCAAAATTCACTTTTTCTTTCTTATTCCTCTATCAGGTGATGACACATTAAAATTATGGGACATCCGACAATTTAATAAGCCACTTTTTTCAGCCTCAGGTCTTCCCACCATGTTCCCAATGTAAGTAGCATATTTTTAATATTTGATTGGCATAGGGTAATTGAAAAAAATTTCTTCACTTTAATGGTAATTTATATCATGTCTTTTAGATTGTCTAGAAAAAAAAGACGGGAGTGATTTAAATATGTTTTTTGAAAGATGTGTTTTATTTTTTATTTTATACATTTTTTCAGACTATAAAAAGTTCTTTGAAGTTAAGTGATGTATATATGTGTGTGCATATGTTTGTGTATATATATTATGCTAAAAACAAGTCCTTCAGTTACTCAGACTGATTCTCTAGGTGCCTGAACACTCATTTCCATTCTATTAAGTCATCAAGTAAAGCTTTTAAGGAATTTTCAGGGGTAGTTGAGGTGACATTTAATCTCTAAATCCTGTAAATGATGCCTAGGAAAGTGTTCTATTTTAGTAGAAACAAAATTTCTCTTCTGAGTTAAATAATGCCAAACATGGCGAGTGTGAAGATAGTGGAAGCATCACATGAAGGAGCTGTAGAACAGCAGCATACTGACTCTTAACACAATCCAGTGCCCATAGCATCATTTGTTAAAACAAACCTGCAAACAAACATGGATTTATAGTGGATGAGAATTTGGGGACTGTTATGCCTGCTACAAGTAATTCTAATTACATAACTTCTTTAGATTATGTTTTCAATTAGTCACAATCAGATGGCCAGACCAGTGGTAAGGAAAGCTGTTTAATTAGAGTGACGAGTTTGGCTCCAGTGATGCAGTCTGGTTCTGACTGCATGGTGCTTGACTTGATGTGATTGAAATTATGAAGCGGGAGTAATAGAATAGTTTTTAAAAATGGACAAAATAGTCACTACTAAGAGATTATTAGTCATATATGTCTATTTCTCTGTAGACATTCTCCATGTCTATATGGAATTTCCTTACACTTTCTTTATATTAAATACACATATATGTCATTTAAAATATATATATTTAAAAATTGTGTATGTATGTTAAGAAGGGACAGATTCTGGAGTTAGGTACCCTGTGTTTGAATCTCAGCTATATCACATCCTTGTGTGATTGTGAACAAAGTTTATTAACCCTCTCTGTCTCATTTTTATCAATACAATGGGGATAATACCTACTTAATAGGATTATTGTTAACATTAAACAAATTAGTTTATTTTATTTGTACTGGGGATTGAACTCGGGTCCTTGTGCTTGTGAGGCAGTTAGTGGCACCACTGAGCTAAATCCCTAGCCCTAAACAAATTATTAAAGGTGCCTGATTCGTAAATTCTAAATAGGAACTGTTTTTACAGTGGCATTTGTATTTTATTCAATTTTATTAGTTTATTCATTATTGCTGTGCTGTTGTGAGGTCATAAACTTATATTTATCTTCTCTTTGTCTATAGGACTGACTGCTGCTTCAGTCCAGATGATAAACTCATAGTCACCGGCACTTCTGTTCAGAGAGGGTGTGGTAGCGGCAAACTTGTTTTCTTTGAACGGAGAACTTTCCAAAGGATGTATGAAATAGACATCACAGATGCGGTAGGTATCTTCTTTTTCTTCCCATCCTTGAAAAGGAAGTAAAATTTGGATCTTAGTCATCTTTTATTTTGGTTTTTTAATAGCACGTAAACACTGGCCCTTACAGTGCAGTGATAGCTGCTTCTTTCTCCTACATGGGAATTATTAGTATGTTGTAGACCAGCTGTAACTGTTCCCCTGACCCCATCTTTGCTGTGGCCCAGACTTTAGTCAGAATTTCAGCTGACCCTGGGTGGTTTGCTCTTCCCTGCCGAACAACTTGAGGAGGAAGCACATCGTCATGTAGAATATAGAAAGGAGTGTCTTGTAGTGTATATGTTTGGAAGGATCCAGGGACAGTTGACAAATATGAAAGGATATGCCTTTAGAGAGAGAGATGAAGTTTATCATTGTTTCCTGTACCCTGAAAACTTTGGTAGAATTCTGCTTGTCAGAGTTGTAGTCATTAAGATAAAGAACACCCTCTAATGAACTTTATTATTATTTATTTATTTAAAGGTTTAAACCATTTCAAATTTTAACTTCTACACTTTAAAAAAATGCAGAACCTTTAGTTTTCTTTACACATTTATGTGAGCACTGAAACACCAGCATTCATTCATTCATTCATTCAAGTCCTAAGATGGAGTCATATGTAAATAATAATGGCAGAGATTCCCAGAGGAAAGTTTGAGTTCTTTTAAAATATATGGTATCAGTTAGATGGTAAGGCAAATCAATGTAATTATCTGAGTATGAAATGGGCCAATTAATGTCTGTGCAAATTTTCTTTGGCTCATTGTCAACTCCTTTAGTAATAACCTAAATCTTGAACAATGCTTTTATATAGGTTTCTCCAGTTGTTTTGGCTCTCTGTAAATAGTTGAGACATATTTTGCACTTAAGTGAGTCAGACAGTTGAATAACTGTTTTTAAATCAGTAGTAAAAAAGCTCTTGTCTCTAATGTTCTGATATTACAATGGAGTCTTAATTTGTAGGTCCACATTTAAAATCATGATATAGTTTGAGTATTATAGGAAAAATGAAATAACAATGAGATGAATTCTAGATGAATACTCAGGTTTTATAGATTTTAATCTCATGACATAATTTGAAATGTGCCAGTACTTGTAATACTTTGTGGCGGGGTGTTCATCCAGGAGCCAACTAAAATACTACAATAAAACAAAAACTATTGACTTTATCTATCAAATTTAATCTCAAAAAGTGAAATTATTATAATTGATCCAGAAGTATTTGTGTTCTGTTGTGCTTCTCAATAATCGTACATTTCAGTATTATTCTTGGTGTTGTATTTTTAAATTATAATTTAAGTCCAAATGTAGTGAAGGAATGTAGCAGAATGATTGAACTTTTTTTTTGTACTAAAGATTAAACCCAGGACCTTCATATTGAGCCACATCCCCACCCTTTAAAAAATTGTTTATGTTGAGACTGGGTCTCTGAAACTTGCTAAGTTGCTCTGGCTGGGGATGATCTGGCAATCCTCCTGCCTCAGCCTCTCACACTGCAAGGATTACAGGCATGTGGCATGATGCCCTGCTGTGATTGTACTTTTAATAACATGCTTAATTTCTGTATTTTATAAGAAGAGCATACTGTTTGCTGGAAAAATCAGTATCTCATAATGTGATAAATTTTTGTTCTCTAAGTTGCTTTTCTATCTAGATCTTTTTCTCCATAGCACTCACCGCCACCTCATGTTGTAAAATATATTTGTTTTTTCATCTGTCTTCTACTGGGATGTGAGTCACACAAGGCAAAAACTTTATCTGCTTTGTTCACTGAATTGTCCTTTTTTGTTTAAAATATTAAGTTTTAGTACATATTTGCAGTTCATAATGATTACATTCATTATGAGCACTTGGTACACATGCATAACACATCTTAATTCTCTTTACTTTACCTTCTCCTTCCCTTGCTCCCTCTCCCATCATCTCTTGGTCACACTGGAGTATCCTGAATGCCTCAAACAGAATGTAGCACATAGATAGCTCTTAGTACACTTAATGAATGAGTAGGTGGTGCACATGGGAAGGGCAAGCAATGCATTTTATTTTAGAAGAAAGACAGTTCTGCAGATATATTGAGTTTGAGGTATTTGTAGGACTTTTGGGGTATAGATACTCAGTAGGCAAATGGGTACCTGAGGTTGCTGTTTAAGAAAGAGAATACATGGACCAGGGATTTAGCTCAGTGGCACCATGCCTGCCTCACAAGGGCAGGGTGCTTCGCTTGATCCCTGATACCCCCCCAAAAAAAAGTGGGGGGAAGAGAACACATGGTTCGAGGAGAAGCAGTTACAATAGTCCATAGTGGAAATGTGATTGCTGTTGGGGTTGATGAAGGACAGAAAAGATGAGCCCTAAGAAATGACATGTAAGTAATAAACCAATGAATAGAACCTAACAAAGGACAAGATTTATTAAGAGAGTATTCCATGTATTAAATCATCTTAGAAAAGGTGAGAAACTGATTTTGAGATCTGTTTGTATAGATGGATAAAGAGAAAACTTCAAATAGAGATAAAACCACACACCTTAAAGGGAGCTTTTAAATCATTGATTCAGTGGTAGTATTTGGGTGGAGGTTAGTTAATGTCAGACAGCACAACTTTCTACTTATATCATAGAATGTTATATTAAAGGGCTTTAAACTGCCCTTTCAACCTGTTGCTTCAAATTTTCTTGTTGGAATGTAAGAAAACAAACAAATACATTTCTTGGAATGTAGTGTGGACACTGCTAGAAGAGCCAAAAAACACCTCTTTTATATTATTGTGTTTTTGCCATTGAAAACCATAGTACTCATTGTTCTTTTGGTAATAACACATTAGACTATCGTAAGGTACTTACTATGTTTTAATTTGCAGAAAAGGTAGCATCTCTTAGTCTTAGTATGAACAGGTGTTTGTGTGCCTGTGTGACATGGCCCAGGTAGTGGTGGTTTTATGTCTATCCTAGAAGTATCCATTGATCTTCCTGTATGTGATTGATTGTATTCTTCCCACATCCACTTCTAAAACAGAATAAACTCTTAAATGCTTGTGTTTTAGGATAGCAAGCTGGTGAGTGTTCATATATGGTACCAGATATTATGGTCACCTAGAGGAAATTAATCTCTGCAATTCATATCTTCTTTGCTAAAAATATCCTAAAGATAACTTTGATAAAATTAGCAAGTGCCATTTTCATGTTTATTTTTGAAAGAAAAAAAATCAAAACTACTTGTTTTAAGTCTATTCTCTGTGTTGTCATAGTCTGAAATTTTTCCTTTCTCTATTTAGTGTAGAGTCTCAGCTCCTTCACTAGGAGGTGGTGAACAATTCTTTTTCCTATTTTCATTACAATTCTGATATAATTATTTTGTAATTTTTTATGCGTTTATTTTTTTGAGACAGAGTCTTGCTGTGTAATTTAGGCTGGCCTTGAATTCACTCTGTAGCCCAGGCTGGCCTCAAACTTGCTTCAATCCTCTTGCCTCAGCCTCCCAAATGCTAGGATTACAAGTTACACAATTATTTTTAGATATTTCCTTTATAATCCAATTGTGTTTCCTCAAGTTAAGCACACACATATCCTTTATTATATTTTTGTGACTTTAGTAGTATTCCTGTTCTCTCACATAAGATGAATTTCAGAATATAACTCAAATCTTGAGTTTACAGATTTTTTTTTTTTATAGATGGGAACTACACCTTTTTAGATACTGTATAAAAGACTTCCATTACTTTTTTTGTAGACAATAAAAATGTAGCCAAAAAAGAATGAATAAGACATAATTTGGAGATGGCATATCAATTTTTCAAAAAAGAATTATGTTTAAGAGGAATCACAAAATATTTTAAACCTTTTTCAGAACTCAGTTATTTAAACAAATGCTTGGAAATGATGTAAACTATTTTTAGCTTAGTAATTATTTGCTATACAATGACTGATAACATTGTTTTTAAAAAATATAAGCCAAGGGACATGGTTTATTCTTTGTACTAACATTTTACCATTTATATTTTTTAATCCTAAACATGGTTAATAAAGTTATTTTGATTGATAATTTTTGAGATGATGCCCTGTGTACCTCATGGACCTTTAGAAGTAGTTTAAGAGATAGCAGGCCTTACCTTGTTGGGTAAAGAAAAAAGTACAAAAGGGGGGAAAAAACCTTTAAATTTTTGCACTAAGGCTGATCTTTCTTTCTTTCTTTCTTTCTTTCTTTCTTTCTTTCTTTCTTTCTTTGGTACTGGGGATTGAACTTGGGACCTTGTGCTTGTCAAGCAGGTGGAGAAGGCTGACTTTTCTAGTTTATTTGCTTGCTTAGGTACTTTGGTGGTGTGCCTCTGTGTTTGTTCACTGACTGAACAAAATGGGGACAGTAAAGAAAAAAGCCTAAAACTTTATTTTAAAAAACAAAACATTTTGAGGATATACTCCTAAGTGAAATAAATAAGTCACACATGTATAAATACTGAATAGTTTCTCTGGTGTGAAAATTTATAATTGTACATGAGATCCTAATGGTATAATTGACAATGTGAAATAGGAAGAAAAGGCCTACAGGTGTAGGGGAAGTGGGAAGGGTAGGTGAAAGGAAATAAGGGAAAAGAAAAAACATGAGATAATGAAAAAATGGAAATAAAGTATTTTAAAATAGGGAAGGGAGGAGGGGGATGAAGGGAGGGCAGGGGTAAGGGGAAAAATGAGAACCAAGACCTGTCATGTAAAGGTGCAAGATCCCAGTGATGAATGTAACTGTACTGTATCCCTAAAATGTACCAATAAACTCAATGAGAAAAAAACAACAATAACAAAAAAAAAAACTAGGGCTGGGGATTGAGCTCAGTGGTTCTGCTGCCTGCTTTGCAAGCACAAGGTCCCGAGTTTGATCCCTAGTACCAAAACAACAATAACAAAACTATAGTATCTAGTACCACTAATCTAGCCCATAGCCTCTGGAGGGAAGGGAAAGGATTTGTTTTGACATTTTCAAGTACAGTACCTTG